AACCTCTAATCGGCAGGTAAAGAGCAGGTATGAAAATCACTCGAAGACACGTGATAGATCAACGCAATACATCAGCCAGCTTGTACAATATGTGTTCGGTCGAGGATTCTAGGGGCTTCCATGCCCAAAGTGTACGTAGGTCATGATATACCTGAGGACTGCAAATGAAAAACAAGTACCCTTTAGACGGTTGGATGAGGTCATCACAACCACCTTGTGAGACGACACCAAATGTAACACGCGACCGGCTAACATCCAGTGACGAGCTGTATGCCATTGTCATAGATGCCGGAAGGATCGGACCTGTGCTGAATGCATGGTGGGGACAAGTACGGATGGGTGGCCGTGAACAGGACAAATATGGTCAGAGGGAGAGGAAATAACAATGGCCGTCAACTCAAGGTTGTAGCGCCCAAATATATAACAAATATCTTTTATCTACCATTTCATTGCTGAAAAACTATAGGTTATTCTTTCTGGTTTTAATCTTCCTTACATCCGGATTGACAAGACTGATCTGTAAGTTACTACGCTAACGTTAGCTCCTGTCTCACTTCATCTGTCCACCCCTTTCTGTAGCCCATCGAATATAGTCAGCTGTGAAACGGTGCGCTCGATCAAGCGCACCGTCTAGGACTAATATTTACTAGTCCTACAAATTGGTTACCCCGGTTCGCATGCGCGAATGTAAATTTTTTTGATTGTTTGTATGTGTTTGGTGAGTTCGTTCCGTTTCACAATTTTATACATGTATTTACTTGTTTGTTGCGTAATTTTAATAGCTTGGTCGTGATTTTGTGTATCGAAGCTTTCGATTCACAGCTCGAAGGTGGCCTCTGAGTCGTTTCACAGATAAGGCACGCTTCCTTTGATTGTTGCAACTTACATTGAGCACAGCCCAGAGGTTTGGTTTGGCATATTCGAGCTCAAACTCTAAAATGAAGCCCTTCAGACGGCCCATTTGAGATTTAATCACCTCGGCCCAAGCCTTCCTTCTCCGGTTGTGACACTGGTTCAGGACTTTCTACTCTACCCATCGAATGAGGCAAAGTATGAAACGATGGAACAAGCGCTTTTAAAAGAGTACACCCCAGCGTTTGGGCACGATTTGAACAGCTCAATGGTCTCAAGTTGGGGGACCGCAAGCCGTCAAGGTTGCCCCGCGAAATGCGGAGCATCAGGGGTCCCTTATGCTTGAGCGAAGAAGGGACAAAGAAGCTGTAGCCTGCATGTCTCCCATAGCCATTGCCGGTAATGCTGTCCATGTTTTTAGATACGCCCCTGAAAGAAATAGCAACCAAGGCAGATGCTGCGTTCGAACGTCATCCGCAGCAGACGACCAGTAGCTTCGGTGACGTGTTCTTACCGATGAAAACCGAGTCTCCTATTTGCTGCAAGTCAACAGGCCGATCTGACCTTAAAGACAAGGAAAGTGCGCTACTTCACTGCAGGTTAGGACCAGTGGAGTCTTCGAAGCAGCGTGTGCTATGGTCAAACGCCAAGCACGTTTAGCCTGTCATTCATTGCGGCTCGTGTGTGTCTGCACTGAGTACGTCTCGTTCGATACGAAAGCGTAATATTTTCTCTGCACATTTTCAGTCAGATAATATCAAAACCCGTCGAAGAAGTATGTTGTTAGCATCGCCAATATGATGCAAAAGCAAGACGTTTTCAGGCCCCGGGCAGTAGGCACGGTTCAGCCGCTTCAGGGAAAGTGAATAACCCACATACTTGCATAACCAAGGCGTCCGTCAACAGCAAAGCAGATCGACTGCCTTACATTAAGGA